CAAGTTACTGTAAATCTATGACAACTTATATATGAAAGTGATAATTTCATCATTTACCTGGCCCTATATCTTTGATATATTGTTGTGGTGAATATACATAAATTTGCAAAGATATGACTACATGTATGTCCTCATATTTTCATCAAGCGTCTACGCTTAGTCAAGTTTGACCACCGATCTGCGATTTTGTCAAGATAAATCGTGTCCGTCAGGTCAAGCTCATACGCAATAGTTCATTGAGGAGTTCCTGTTTCATTACTCAAGACATAACAGTTTTTACTAATTTGAGCATTACACAGATATCTTCATACATATATTAAGTGTTTGGGATTTTTCCCTTCTATTTTGGCATTGTTTGTTTACCATATTAATTCATTTCATCACAGATGCATAATTTTGAGACCGACTGCACTTATTTTGAGACTGAATATTTTTTTTGCTACCCACCCCCCACACTTACGCCCCTGACCAGAAGGAATTATCACTGACAGCAATAGCTTACAAAAGCATGCAGAAAAGAATTTTCACACCAGGTATGACACATGCCTTGTTTTCTTCTGTGTTGTGTAGAATAATGATTCACCTTTGATCTTCACCACATTTTGTTCATGAGGTGAAATAGCCTAATATCTTTGTGAGTTTTTGAAAATTTGCTTACAAACACAGTTACAATGAAAATGTGCTACCTGTTTGCTAGGGTTTCCATTGTGCAGATGCCACTGATTTTAATGTCTTGTTGATACTGTCACCACGGTCTGTCGAGGCCTTATATTTACCTTTCTATGGTTTAATTAATTATGGCTTACCATAATATTGATATGACATCTAATGGTTGTCTTAACATACCATGTTAATGTTATTGTTATATTCCTCATGTAGTTTAGTTCCTGTTTTATTTATGTTCCTGTTTTATATTCTTGTTCCTGGTGTAAGTAAATAAATTTTATATTTACAAAACTGATATTCCGTTATCACTAATAGTGTTACATTAACACTATGTAAAGATTTCGTTCCACTTGGTCTTGGAAACTTTAATGCTTGTTAACCAACATAATATCCAACAAGAAGGCGTCAAGTTGTACTGAAATTTTGGATACCAGCTAATATGTTCCAGTCGCATACAATCTCCAAATGCACCGTGACTTTGCATGCTCTTGGACATATGCTGAAGTCAAACACTTCCTATCGCCACTATTATGCGAACAATTAAATATAGAAGACCTGTTACTTCTGAAGGAGCTGCTATGAGAGATTCGGTGACTGACATTTTGACCAAATTGAAGAGACTCTTAATGGTAAAAATACTACACATTCCATGGCTACCGTTCTTTATCAACAGAATGATCTGGCCACCTCTAAAAGTAATATACCAAGATTTTTGTTAGAGCAAAACAAGTCCTTAATGTGTCCAGCCTCGTTCTTCATCAACGCTTTTCCATATGCTGACACCGAAATATTATGCCGGATGCTGCAATGGCAATATATCAAATGGTGATATTTAAAACCAATTTGTTGGTTAAATTTACTCATTTGAATATAATTGTAGCATTTAGAACATTTGGAATTTTGTAAAATAACATAAACACTATGATTTTAAGTTTCTTGGTGGACTCTTTATATGGAATAAATCATATTTTATTACTGTCTAAATATAATAACTATATTAATCTGTTGCAATGGATTATTCAAACTCAAAATCTGTGTTTTTAAAATAAGGATTCCGAAGTTAATTAACAAATTACCCTTTAATTTAAAAGTTTTGACCAAAAATATGACCTAGTCACCCATTACTCTTTCAGATGATAGTAATGATTTTCAAGTTTTGTTCAGCACCAAAGAACAAGAACCAAAAGTCTACCCCTACCCCCATCAAATCTATTATCGTTAAAGAAACCCCGACCATTCCAGGCCCGTAACTAGGGGGGAGTGCAAGTGGGGCCAAGCCCCCCCCCCCGCAAAAAGTTTCGCCCCTCCCCACCCCCATGTGACAAAATATTCGACCATAAGAAAATAGATATACCTTGTCCATCAATTTTACAGCACCCCTGAGAACACTTCTCGCCCCCATCGTTGCTCTGAGCTGGTTATGGCCCTGGACCATTCGTAAAAGTGCAAAAAAATATAATAAGCCATGTTGAAAATTTGCCAATTACACCACAATATCTATATATACACCAAGCCTTAAATCAGCTTCAAACATTTATAGTCACTAAATAAACGGTCATGCTGACCATTTAATCATCCATAAATAATACACTGAAAGATGGTTCCGAGTGTCAGCCATAACATCCGAGCACACATGAGTAAAAATTAGGTTACGTGCTCTGGTTTTGAAAGTTGTCTCGCTTAACCCGTCCACCGACCATTCTACGTTTGATTAACAGGCCGGGATAATCAAGACTACTATTTTACAAAACATAACAGAAAGCTGAAACAATAAATTGAATTTAGAAACACGCACGTTGGGCAACTCAACAATTGTTTTAAGAACCTTGTAAAAGTATAATGAAACTACTGCTAGTATCATGTTCTTGCCCAACGCAAGTATTTAATTTCAGAGATATTATTTATACTAAACCAAAAGATGCTGATCCTAATGATACAGTTAATGATAAAGCAATTTAAAAAATAAAACAAGCGTAATTTCTAAAGCTGCTATAATAACCAATAAGCTAAATATTACTGCTATTCAGAATTGTCAACAATAGATTTTTTACGGCTGTAATAGTTGATAGATGTGTAGCGAATTGCACGTGCGATGGCTATTTATAGTATCATAGACTCCTCCGCTGAGTGTTATCATAGTGCGTAGTGTATGCGAGAAATCACTTCAAGATAAGCCACTGAAGCGTGTACATTTGCCGTGTCGAGACCAACTTTCTGTACGGTGCACGGGTCACCCTATCAACAGCAAAAAGAACCTAAGCTGGTTACAATACTTTGCTTTGGTACTGTTTTTATAAGAAACAGTTTCATTTCAGTGTATAATTAATAGTTAGGCTACATCTAGCTAGACATTTTTTAAACCGTTGTATTATTAACTATATTAGCAGTAGGGCTTGACAATATAAATAATTATCAGATATCCACACACAACAAACTATGTATCTAATGAAATGATTGTCATTTAGTTAGATAATTATAGTAACAATTATAGACTCATATTATGCATACATGAACACATGGTTTAAAGGACAAATACCAGATATATTTGAGTGAATAAAAATGGTTATATTCAGCCTGTAAATCAAATGGAGTTTAATATCCTACTATTCTGCATCAACAGGGCTATTATTTTACCAAACTGATACATTGTTTCTGTGATATCAGGAAGTCAGATAGTATTTGAGTCACATGTTTAGGTAATAGCTATATACCTTGTTTTCAAGGTGTATGGGTTGATACACCGTCTCTTTTTTGAGTGGGGCTCCGAGGCGAAACCGAGGAGATCTCCACTCAAAAAAGAGACGGTGTATCAACCCATACACCGAGAAAACAAGGTATATAACTGACTTATACTAAATACTTTTTCGAGAAATAGAGATTTTTTCTATTTTTCCCAATTTCAAAAGCATTTTTCATTTCACAAATTTATCAAAGTTTCCCATTTAGAGCCCCCCAATTATCTCATCGCAAAAAGTGGCCGTGAAAAGTGGCCTGTATTGGTGTATACCCTCCCATTTTCTTCAAAGTGTCGAGAAAAAGTATGGGTATAATTACTATTATTACCAATATCTTTACATTTAGACATTTGATTCATATACTTCAACTCACTTATCTCAAAGATACCCTGTTGAAAAGCTGAGTTGGGATGACTTTGACTTTCACGTATAATGTAAAGAACCAGCGGTTGCCAGGCAAGATACACCCACATTTTGCAAGAGATGGACAGAGAACAAACTAAACAAAAACACGATTTTTTGTACAATCAGGCAGGGGCCATAATCAAGTTACGGTCTGATATGCAAGAATATCGAATGGAACCAAGATATATTTTAAGTTTCATCAAGATCGAATAAAAACTTTGACTTCTAGAGGGTCCATGACCTTGGTATAACATACTTTTACACTATTTGCATACAAGTAGCAGCCATTTCGTCAAACAGTTTTGATCTGATTTAAACAGTATTTTTAAATCTGATAAAAATTGTGATCCCTAGAGATTTTTCGTACAATTTAGGGGCCATAATCCAGGAAACTCTGGTCCGATATGCGCGATTATCGAAAGGAAACGAGATCGTTGGGTTATAAACAAAGATTTCAAGTTTCCTCAAAATTAAGTAAAAACTGTGACTTTGGTATTACATACTTTTAGACTATTCGGTACACCGAGTGGCCATTTTGTCAACAATTTCGGTCAATTTTTTACGAAATTTAAACTCAACCTTAACTGAGGTTTAACAGTGATATACTTAAACGTTTTTTAAAATTGATTACAAATTTTGATTTTTAGAGGGTTTACAAGCTAAAATCAGGGGCCGTAATGCAGAAAGTTACGTTCGATATGCGTGATTATTGAGAGTAACCATGATCTTTGTGATATAAACATACATTTCAAGTTTTATCAAAATAGAATAAAAATTGTGACTTCTAGAGGGTCCACAACCTTGGTATTACATATTTTTAGACTATTTGCGTACAAGGAGTGGCCATTTTGTCCAGCAGTTTCGGTCAGATTTTTATGAAATTCGAACTTAACCTTCATTGAGGTGTAACGGTGATATATTAAAATTGAATCCAAATTGGGACTTCTAGAGGAACCACAAGCTAAAAACGCGATCTTTAGAACAATCAGGGGCCATAATCCAGGAAGTTACATTCTGATATGCGTGGTTATCGACGGTTTTGTCATCAAGTTTATAATATAATTTAATACTAAGTTTATGGCAATTGTCAAAATCGAGACAAAGATCTAAGTAGGAAGCGAAATTGCCACTCTCAGTAGTCTTTTTAATTAACAAATTTTACTACTAAATTTCAAAATAACCTTACACACTCACCAGTTTATTGTAAATCTAAGTCACTGATTTACAACATGACAGCTAAATATGTATTTTTCTCTACTAAAACAATTCGAGTACAAACACAGCATCCGTAAATAGCAACAAGCATATGTACCGGTATCTCTCTTTAAACATAGAGATGATTAGTTTATAAACTACTTCCTTCTTGGTTGATGATATTACTCATACTGCACTTTATCAGTTATCAAGAAATATGTTCATTTGACCTAATTGACCTATTCCCATAATATGAAGGACTATACCCACTACAGAACAAATGAACAGGCTACATAACCTTCAGGCAACAAAACATATCTTAACCTGTAGCTTTATTCTATGAACTTGATAAAATGAAATAAAATGGGGTTTAACTTTCTATTTGTCTGCACTAACTGGGCTAATGAAGATGGCTTTGATAAAAAAAAATTGTCAGCGGGCAGTTTACCATTTTGTGAACCACAATAAATGTTATCAATATTGCCCTTGATGCTGAATATCAGTGCGTAAAGATGCATTATGTAAAATTTAGATAAAGAGCAGGACATTATAGCCAAAATAGTTCCAAAACAGATACTGAAAAATGAATATATTGAAAATTTCCTTCAGTGTTTGAAGTTTTGGATTAGTTCTTATAGTAGCAACGGTATTTGACAATCAAGACTAAATCTCGAAGGTGTGCTAATCCTGGTTTAGGGCAGCGGTACTGCATTATAAGTTTAGTCTATGGAGACAGGTCTGTCAGGAGAAAATTTTGAACAGTTAATATCCGCAAGCCCATGTTCCTGCTATTCCAGCAACTTCAATGTGGTCCAATATAACCTAACTTAGGTGGCTGACCCGAAGTGGGGGACACACTATCTGAATGATTTGGTTGAATCGGTCGGCCAAATCAATCGGCACTAAATTTCGCCTGGTGTGTCCACTGTCCACTGTGATATATTAGCCTAGTGTGTCCGCTACTTGGAAAATGATTTGCACGATTGTAGAATTCATTAGCCAATCATCTCTCATATCAAGAAATCCTGTGATTGTTTGAAGAAATGGTCGCAATTTGGCTAGTCTGTCCACTGCTTGAATTCCAAATAAGCAATCAATCGTTTAGTCCACGGGGATGGGGGCCTCATCCTTCCCAAGAAAAATTTTGAAAATTTAACCACCTCAGTTGCATTTTTCTGTTATTGTAGCCTGTGAGTTGTTCAATGGTTTTGCAACTGAAATCAATAATCATTGATGAATAATCAATGCTGCCTGAAAAATTGTCACGCTTCAAGTACAGTGACTAGTGTTTATTACACTGATTAAATATTTCAAATTTCAATTTATTAGTCAATTATAGAAATTACTAATTCCGAAAAATAAATGAAATAAATAATGACGATCTCTGAAAAATGTTGCAAAAATTCACCGTATAAATTAATAGAATGTAAAAGTGGTGTTTTATTATCACATAATAGTCATCAAATGTCAGGCACTTTAGTTTGCAGACTATAAGGCAAATTTTTTTTCTCCATTTAATTCACACATCTGAGTATTAAATTTTTACATGCTAAGTACATGTACCTAAGGTTTCTATATAAACTATAGCCTATATGCATGTTTGTTCATTGTCTTCCAGGGTCAGGTCGTATCTGTTGGTTTTTCTGATTGACAGAGACTCCTTATTGTGACTTTAATGGTAACAAAACTGTTATACTTTTATGAGTTGTCTTCAATCTAATAGTGGCACACATAAAATCGTTTTCTTCAAATAGGCTCCCACAGCATGTAACGTCTCAGATTGCCTTGTACAGCAGGCAACTTCCCAGATTGCCCTGTACAGCAGGCAATGTCTCAGATTGCACTGTACAGCAGGTGATTGTCCCAAACAGCAGGTAACATTTCAGATTGCCCAGTACTGAAGGCAATAGAGACTTTTGGCAAGTGGAATTTTTCCCATCCGTATCACGTATCCGTATCGTATACGTGATACGTTGCGTCAATATAGTTTTAGAGTTTTGGCAGATTTTCGCGTCGCGTACGAATGCGTCGCTAAGCTGAGCTTAAGGCCCGGTCCCAGTATGCAAAAAGAACACAGCGGACGAGCAAAATTTCAGGGGTGGCTCCATCCGTTTTCATCCGCTCAAGAAATGGACAAAATCGACGAAAATTTGCGAAAACAGAATGGAAAAGAACGAACGTGGGAAGTATGTAGCGGGGAAGTTAAATGGATGTTCATCGGAAGCCTAGCGGATGGAAGTGGATGACAGTTCCAAAGGGTCTAGGTAAACTCCAGACATCCTTCAATATACCAGATACATCCCAGATACAAACGCTTTGTCCGTTTTGAAAACTTTATATACGAGATGCATACGCTTACATCCTTTCTATTTCCGTGCTACGAATGATGTATAGACGTTCCATGTACCTTATCTTTCCCCCCTCTTTCCGTTTTCAGCTGGAGCGGATGTGAGTTGCAAGATTGCCCAGAGGATGCAGAGAGGATACAGTGGACGTTTAACGGATGATAACGTACATGGAACGTTTGGTGCTCGTATATGTCGCACATTTACATCGTACACGGCAGAAAGTTCATCTGTTATAAAAGTTTTGTTCAGCGCAAAACTTTTTGCGCGGATGAAATCAAAGTGAACGGATGCTCGATGGATAGAGCGTATGAAACACGTATGCAATGAGTACACAACGGATGCATGGCGTTTTCAAACGGAGGGCACGTTTTTTTCCCCGTTTTACATCCTCTATGCATCCGTAAGTGCAGTGGACCAGGCCTTTAGTTCTATTACTGCATGATGACAGAGCGAAGTCGCTCGACCGTCGCTGAGCTAATAAAAAATTTAAATAATTTTGGTTTCACTAATGTATCATTTCAGAAAGTTCTACCATAGAATAAAATCATTTACAGATTTGCAAGGTCCAGCCCCCTAAATTTAGCACCTAGATCAACCAGCATGCAGACAGACAGGAAAAGTATGAAAATTCCGAGAAAAAAACATAAAAAAATAATGATTAAATTCCATTCCTTATCTTGGTTAAAATCACATCAAACATACACCTTCGTGTTTTAGAATAGGCCTACAAATGAAATGAAATGGGGTTTAACGTCCTACTGTTCTGCTCCTATACTGGGTTTTTCGTATCATCCGAAGGACTATACAGCTGTCCTTGTCAGGCCCTCCGTTCTGCACCACTGACAAGGGGAAACCACGTCGGAAAATCCGGATGAATTTTCTCGGCCAATGCAGGGATCGACAACCTGACCTTCTGGCTAGCGAGCCAGCGTCTTAACCACCTAGCCACGTTCTAGAATACACATATATTCATAAAAACGCTATGATATAACATTCCAGCGTCTAAAAGTAGCACAAAAGACGGTAAAAAGATGAAAATGTTATACGGACCTTTTCCGTATGAAAGTTGTTCGATACGCGCTGCCGTATCCGTGTGCCGTATCACGTATGAGAAATACACACACATTGATGACGTCACACACACAACACCCATACGGATACGTACGTGATACGGACCAGGAATTTACGCTTGCCAAAAGTCTCTATTGATTGTCTCAGATCGGCCCCCACAGCAGGTAACATATCAAATTTGCCTCCACAGCAGGTAACGTCTCAGTTATGCTCCAAGACAGGTTTTTTTTTTTCTTCCAAGAACCTCCACAGCAGGTTTTTTCTTCAGGGTGGCCCCCACAACAGATTTTTTTAATTTTAAACCCCATTATATTTTATGTTACATTTCCTTTTTCAATTCTTATGTAATCTGTATTGATACAATATTTCTTTTAAAGTCTATTATGGTATAATTTGGCTTGATATAAAAATAACTAATATTTTTTTTAGGAAACATTTTTGAATGTGTATGTTTTAATAAAATATTGGTTTGTAAAGGAATTAAAAGTAAACGCCAAGTATCTCGTTACCTCGTCAGGTAGTACGGAAGCGTATAGGGGTCACGCAAAATTTTGTAGAAGACCTCGAGATCCTGCGATCCTGTGATACTTTCTCGAGATCTCAACTTAATGTTCTCGAAATCCCCTAATAATTTTCTCAAGAATCTCCCATGCTGTGTTAACGATCTTGAGAATTTGAGTTAACTTTCTCGGGATCTTGCCATCCTATGTAAATTTTCTCGAGATCTCGGGTGTTTTTATGCGTGCGCGTAGATTTAACGTATTCTCAGCGCCCCACAACCAGTCGTTTCGTAGTTTACCCCCCCCCCCCCCACAACACTTTCCCCAAAACCTTAATAGCACGATAGAGCCTACAGATTCTAATGGATTTGTTTCAAATTTAGTGTAAAGTATTGGGGCCATGAGAGGGCACCTTGTCGTTCTGGAGTTGTCCACCCTTTCCGAAAAAATTAGAGGCTAAAGTTTTTAACTGATTTTGTTTTTCAAATGTGATGTGAAGCACTAGGATCTTCGATTTTCAGTACTTCGCAAACTTCTGTTCGAGAGTTACCCTCTTTGTCCGTATTTTTTTCAAATGTGACGAGGAGAGGAAGAACCCTATCGATATACAGCATTCACCTTCTGTTCCGTAATATACCCCCCCCCCCACACACACACACACCCTTCACCTCCCTGGAAGCCTTGTTCACGTCATAGAGGCTTCACTTTTACAATTTTGTGTGAAGCTTTGGGGTCATTCATATTCAATGGTTAGCGATCTTCCGTTACGAATTTATACTCTCCATTCTTTGAAAACCTCGTTTTTAACGGATTTTCGATATTCAGTGTTCCGCGACAAAGATGACTGACCCCTGTTAATTTTCAGCAATATAAGGTTTTCTGTCTCAGAGATATAACAAGCACGTGAACACGATAAAGATTAAATTTCTTGATGAATGCTAGATCCTTATTCAATTTATTAAACAACCAAGTTTTCCTTTCGAATAATTTGCTGTTGAGGCATAGATGCCGCGTGGGCGTATCTCCACACTTTGCGTGGCTATCGTTCAAATTCCTATTTTCCGGTAAACCTTTTGAACGCGTTAGAGCCCAGAGTTTTTCAAGATTTTTTATTTAAAATCTGCTCCGAAGCATTTGTGCCACAAGACAATAAACTCTATATCTAGCTTTATTCTAAAACAATATATGGTCTGAAAACCATGCAAAAAATGACATT